CTATCTGTTAACGTTTTCATGACGAACAATGTTTTTATGCACAAAAAAAGCGATCGCGGTAAACCCGGAAGTAACTATTATCATTAATCGAACATTATAGGACACATCTGCAGAGGATCTGATTATGGATATAGGTTCAGTATATAAATGATTATGGATATAGGTTCATATATAAATGATTATGGATATAGGTTCATATATAAATGATTATGGATATAGGTTCAGTATATAAATGATTATGGATATAGGTTCAGTATATAAATGATTATGGATATAGGTTCAGTATATAAATGATTATGGATATAGGTTCATATATAAATGATTATGGATATAGGTTCATATATAAATGATTATGGATATAGGTTCAGTATATAAATGATTATGGATATAGGTTCAGTATATAAATGATTATGGATATAGGTTCAGTATATATACTGTATATAGTGTATATAGTGTATATAGTATATGAGCAGCTACGAGCATCAGCGCCAATGATTGACAGCCCTTGGCATCACCTGATTGGTTAAAGTGGACGGCATCGTGGATTTTGAGCTATGGCTAAGAGAAGGGAAGGCGGGACTTACCCGTAATATTAGAATTCATAAAATTACTTATTTTATATCAATATTAAGGCCAGGAGGTCAATTTAATACAATTCTTAAATTTTGTAATTCATTTAGAGTTCCAGACAATCACTTTAAGATCAAGGCAATATTTCCAAAATCATAAATTCAATGGTTTTAGACGTTTTAAGAGCCTGTAGACCCTGTACTACAACAGTACCATGCTGCTTCTCCTTTGAAAGCAAAATGCAGCATTTGAGAGACAATATTTCACTTCAGGTGCTAAAAGCCTGACAGCAAGCAAGCGTCCTTGAGACTCCTGATCACAATGACTGCATAGCCATTATGAAAAATAGAACTAGCTTATTATCAAGTCTTGCACACCTTCTACCACTAAAAGCAAAATGTTTGAGTTATTTGTTCAAGGTTTCAGGCAAAGTTTATACCAAAACAGTTTTTCTTTTTTGATGCAGGATGGACAGTGGTGATGATCCAGGACACGCAACGTTCAACAACTAATTTACATTTATCCACATTAATGAACATTGGTGTTCTGCTCCTTACGGACAAATGGCTCTATGTGTTTTTTTAATCATTGCATTTCTTGAGTTTGAACGGTTAGATTCTCTGTCTGTGCTACAGTTTTATTTATTTTTTTATCGGGAGTGGACAAGCAGTATATTGTTACTGTTATACCTATTGTGTTACACACAATTGGTATGAATGTACAGTAAATGAGAGTGAATGGATGGTGTTGGAGCTGATGGTCCAGTGTGTTCTGGACTCGCTTCCGTCATCACCGTGTGTGGAATAATAGGAACAATATATGAACTCTGAACACTGTTAAGTGCTTTGGGTGACCTTGGTCTGTAAAATGCGCTATATAAATAAACATTACTTACTTAATTACTATATTGTGATACTGTAACATTAAAAGGCTGCTGCATCAATTTCAATGTGTTTTCTGAACTCTTTCATTTTTTTAAATGTAGCTCTGGTAAGTATTCAAATGCACTTTTTTCTGTCAAAATATTTTAATAATAACTAAAATATATTCAAGAATGTCAATGACCAGAACTGAATACTCTGAGGTGTTTTGATCCATCTGCTGATCCTGTTACTCTCATGAGTCTTCAAACGTTTTAGTAAGAGGGCTTGGATTTAAAGCTGTTATGGGCATTAAACGAATAAATAACATGTCCATGTTGATTCAATTTGACCAAGCTGAAGTTGGCCTAATGAGAAAAGTTTAGAAAAGACTCAGGCTGGACACTTTGGACATGTCTGAGTTGCATAGATCATTCCAGTGAATGAGACTGATGTAGCTTGCCCATAGAATTTTATAACAACAATAAACATAAATATAATACTGCCTTAAATTATGACACTTCTGTTTACAGTATTGAATAAATGTAGGTTTAAGTGGTATGCATTACATTATCAAACTCCAAACACAATACAAAAACACTACAACCAGGTGGCATTTACTGGCAAGCAAATGAGTCAGTCACAACACACATGGAGTTCCTATATAACACATTGTGGGTATGACAAATGCTCCCACAATACTCCTTCAAAATAAAATGTTTGTCGGGCAAAGGATGACAAAAGAAAAACATGCAGCACCAGTGGGGGACATCACGTTTTGGGTACGAGGCCCAGAAATCATAGGGGGTGGTTGCAAAAAAATAAAAATAAAAAAGGGGTTCAAGTGACCCTGTGGTACAATCAATCCATAAAATTGAATGAAACTTGCCAGGTAGTTTGCTGCAGTCACACCCGGGTAAGCAAGATCAAAACGGGTAACCAGTGCAGGCTGCAGGTAAGAAATGAAAGACAACATCACCAGCCGGCACAATTGGTCAAAAAGAAGATATGCACATAGGGGAAACCCAGCGTAGGACAGAGGGCATTAAAAACATGGTTACCCAGTCAAAGAGATAGCACATACTGTACATGCAGAGTTGAGATCAGGGTGAACGTTCCACTTTTTCAACCTGAAAGAGCACTAATCATATCCATTTATAGTCATAAACATAGGGATGCACCGGCCTGATACAATACTGATCTATGTTCTATCCTAAAGGTAAACCGGAAAGATCGGTAGAAGACCATTTACAAGCTGATGTCAACTCAGAGCATGATGAATTTAAAGCTGGGTTACTTAACTTTTTAAAACATATTGTGTGTGTCCGAACAGGAAGTCCTATACATACTGTCTTTTATTATAAAACATGTTATATTTTGCATACTTGTAAGAAAGAGCCCTGTGAGTCATTAACTGACACTGAGGTTTGGTCTGAAAAAGCTTCTTTATATGATCATATAAAGAAGCTTTTTCAGACAACAAATACATGAATGTGAAAAGACAGAACTAAACTGTTTTAGTTAGATTATATTATTGTCAGTGTTTGATTGTTAGGTTCCCCAGCTTTAACCTTTGCTCATACAAAGTTGTTCTGTAGTGACTTTAAAGACAGAATTGGACACAATCGAATTTGAGGAGGCAAGTTTTTGCAAGGACTTCCCCTCTGAGGGACACAATCCCTTCAACATGTCCTGGGACTTCCCCATAGTCTCCGGAGTGGGACATACATGGAACACCTCCACGTGAAGCAGCGGCTCTACTCTAAGCACCTACCATGTGACTTATCTCTAGGGAAGCGTTCCGCCCCATTTCGAACACTTTGATTTCAGTCGAGTACCATGGTCTCGGATTTGGAGGAGCTGATTGATTTGACATTGAAATGTCTTGGCTTCAGAACCTTGGAGAAAACCTGACCAAAAAGTAATAAAAAAATATATATGTATTTATAGTTCTGTCATTTCTAGGGGGATAAGCTTAGAAGAGGCAAACAAAATATACACTAAATGTTGTTATATATTATAAATTAATACAAGAAAGGGCCAAATAGCCCAGCCCTAGTTTAGTTCATTCACTGGCAATGTTCATATCAGGTATGCAGCTTTTGAATTGATCCAGATGGGTATCAGACATAGAAGCGCTGGTGCATCCCTAGTAACAATTCATATTTTTTATGCATTTTTGTCAACAAAAACAAAAGTTAATGAAAGATACATTTCACAGCATACTATACATACCATGGAGACAAGTAGTTGGTAATCCCTCTACCAGAAAAGTTACATAGTGAACACATTTACACATGTTAAATACATAATTCCAGCACTCATCAGAAACAACACACACGTAAGAAAAACATCTTTATTTGGTATCACAGCTTGTCCCAAAACCCAAAACCAACACTGCCAAAACCTATGCTATGTGTCAACACTGGCTGATACAAGTAATACTCTACATATCACTGCTGGGGGCGAGAACACCCAGAGACACGCCCTGGCACAATATCACTCCTAATCCTCCCTTTGTAATGACTCCTGCCACATAACCTCATAACTCCCTTCATCACCACTTTAGGATCAGACAAATACAATAATTTAACTAAAGTGAAGGGCTGAAAGCAGCCTTATGGAGTCCGACTGGCCATTACATCACTGAACAACAATCATTATGCATATTAACCATGAGCAGATGTTGGCAGTCCTCTGATGCTCTATCAGCACCATTATAGCAAAGATGACACTGTGTCTGGTGTTACAGCTACACTAATTACACCTGGTTGTCAACAGAGAGGCGCAGACACATCCAAGCTCAAGCCTATTAGAGAAAATTGGTAAAATAAAAGGGGAAAAAAATATATCTGACTCTGTAGGTGTTAAAATGAAGGGCAGTTTCAAATTAAAATCAGTTAAAAAGTACAACAACTATGCAAACACAAGCAAATCATTAATACTGCATTCCACAAATGACATTAACAGTAGTGCACTAAACTAAGGGCAACAAGTAGAGATGACTTTATTAACAACATTGCCCCCTGCTGGCTGCTTAATAAGAGCACATCTGCTTGCAGCATTTCAGATCTGAACCCTGTACATAACAATAGTGCATCAGCAGAGAATGAAACGTATTAAAGAGGTGAAGAGAAAGACGTTAATAATGTAATTTAATAACAAATGGTGGAGCAGAGTCATCATCACAGTGGCTCTCAACTGCTGAAGAGGGTCATGCTTTTCTCATACCACAAAAAATACAAAGACATGTCATCTTTTACATAGTGAGAGCTGATTGTCTTCAATGGTTGCAAAGTTAGGTTCCCCAGATTTGTTTTTTTTTATACAGTTTTTTATATATATTTATATCTAAATCCACAGAACTAGAAATGATAGATTACATCTGCCCCATTGGCATTTATATTTTTTACTTAGTTAAGGAGTCTTCTTTGCTTTTTTCCCCTGATTCCTAAGTTATTTTGTTTAGATTCAATGCTTAAATAATTATACATAATAAATCAGTTTTTATTGGGCTTGGGGTTATGTTAATGGTGGATCTAGACACTGTTCCAGTTGAGAACCACTGGTCTATGAGGCCGTCCCCGACTCCTGGACTTTCTTTGTAGGGCGGGTCTGGGAGGAGGTCATATGAGGTTATTCCTGGACTAGAAGTTTGACCATCTACTGCCCCAGAGGTACCACAGCAGCGGTGGTGGCGGCCTTACCTTGAGAGGAGAGATGTGTGAGTGGGACACATAGCCGTGCACGTTCTCGATCTCAGACAGGTTCTTCTCGGACACGTGCACGAGTTCAGGCGCCCGCACCTCGTTTGTGAGCCGTGGGAAGCCCTGGTCAAGTGGTGGCGAATCGTCGTCCTGATACTGGTACTGCTGCAAATACACAAAGGGATGAATACAACTTCCTGAAAACAAAACTGGATAAATCAAAATGCCAATGAGATGTGGATGCTTGGATTGGTGACCCCTGGATTGAGAAGCATGCATAGACTACACACTCAATCTGAAGGAACACTTTGAAAGGTCACCGGTGGACGGGCCAACACTTCATCACCAGTCGCAACAGTGGCTTTGACCTTGATCTTTTGAACATGGGAACTTGAAGATAAGGAGGGAGAAATTGCATGTTTAAAGTGACGGCACCTTTGATTAGGGCAGGGCAGGATCTTTCAGAGCCTTATGTGAATACAGGAACCTTCAATCCCATATAAAATAATATAAAAAACCTATATTACTATATGAAAAAGCTGGAAATTAGATTAGATTCAACATTCTTGTCATTACAATGTCAGAACGATGCAAATAAATGCAGTTTAGCATCTAATCAGAAGAGCAATATCGCAAATATAGGATCAATCAAATCAATCAATCAAATCTTTATTTGTAGAGCACATTTAAAACAGCCTAGGCTTACCAAAGTGCTGAACAGACAGCGAGGAAAAATTATAAAATAAAAACACATAAAATACAGAAATGTATATACAAAAAGAAATCGAAAAATTTGTCTCTGTCTACTTGGTAGTAAAAGCCAAAGAAAAAAGATGCGTTTTAAGCAGGGATTTAAAGTGCTCGAGTGATTGTGCAGTTCTAAAGTGCAAAGGTAAAAAGTTCCACAACTTTGGCCCTATAACAGAGAAAGCTCTGTCTCCTCTGGTCTTCAGCCTGGTCCTAGGGACGACAAGAAGGTGCTGATCTGCAGAGCGCAGTGCTCTGGAGGGAAGGTGAGGCTGGAGGAGTTCATATAAATAAGAAGGTGCCATTCTATTAAAAAGGATAATATTTACATCAGATAAATAGTCTGTACACATCAACGGAAGACCAGAAAAAGTGGTCTGCATTGAATAAGAGCTTTTGGTGGAAATTGATGACTTTTCAATTTAAGCACATTTCCGTGTTCGTTGATCTAAATTGGGGGTAGGCTTCATAAAGCGTGATGATACTCTATTTTGGGTATGTGCTATACAAACTACTATAAAAACGTAAGCCGATATAGTACCAATTTTCTAAAGTTTTTCCACTAGAAATGGAGTAAATTAATAGGTTCCCGACACGTTGTAGGCGTTTTTTATACAATGAATGAAAATGCATGAAATAGCCCAAATGTAGATGACAATGGTTTGAAAATTGTAGTGCTCTGCTTCCATCTCTCACCCACGGAGCCTGGGTCAAGGCTGGGGACATGCAGGGTGGGGGTTGGCCGCTGTTGGGGGACCCATGTACTGCTGGTGGCCTGTTCTGGAGAAAGCAACACGACCATAGTTGACCCAAGTAGTAACTTAATACACCTTCAGAATTAAGCACTCATCCAAGCCAAACAAGCGAGTAACAAGCAAGCAGGAGGATTATAAGAAGCTTCAGTCAGCACACGGCATACTATAGATGTGTCTGCGATGCACAGATGTCAGCGCAGATGTGAGGATAATCAAGTGAACCGCACGCATGACGCAACCAGGGAAGAAGAACTAACATAAGAGTAAGGCGGCATGAAAAAAATAGTCAAAGTGACAAGCAATAACGTGGTTTAAAATGCAAACTATTCTACGTAATCTTTGGCCTTCATGCAAAACTAGGGTGAAAATACTTAAGTGAGGTGGGGGAGCCTAAACAATTGCAACGCTCCAGTTCATACAGTTATGTCTGATGTCACCTCGAGGGGAACAACATAGAAATGCATTCTAATGTTAGTGGAAACATGGCTCTGGGCCAAGAATATATATGTTAATACAACTAAATGTGTTCCTAAGCATGAATATTTACTTGACTCATTCTACAATACAAGGCAAAAGACAACAGCTCTCATTATGGATAAATGTGATTTTCTTGTATGCATGCACTGTGTAACGGTGATAAGTGACAGACAATATTCAGTTTTCAGGTATTTGAAGGACAAGGTTGTTCGAAGGCCAACTGCTGCCAAGGAATGTCCCACAGAGATAATTGTAATGACATTCTTAGCCATTCACAATGATAAAATTCAACCTTTCCAGCACCGTGTAATGAATTCAAGCACGTTACATATAAGAATAAGCTTTTCAACAACTACATTGTTATTATTACTGTGCTATTCATTAATTAGTAGATGGGAAGATTAAGTGGCATATGGAATTTTGCTCTGACAATACAAAGATGAAGAGGCTTTAGAGACGATATCTCCTCTTTATGTCACCTTTGTCTGATACTCAACTATTCAAGTTCAAGCACAGTACTTTGCATGATTTAGGTTCAACATGTCTATGCTTAAGATACGATAAGATATTCCTTTATTCGTCTCACAGTGGAGAAATGTCAGTGTCATTGTTGCACATTAGAGTAGAGAAAGAAGGCTTTAAGAGCACTCAGATAGCATGCATCAAATAGTCTATCATTTAAGATAATAGACAATATAAGATAAAGAATAAAATAAACTCTGGAGCTATAATTGCACTTGGTTCAGGAGTATTTACAGATGTGTATATTGTTCTTAAGCAGCAGAAATATGAGCAGAATAAACAGTAATAATATCAACAGGTAAAGTGATTAGTGAATGGCGTGGCCTTTGCTTGAAGGTATAGATTTTTTCAGTCATTGGTTTAAGGACAATCTTATTCCTGGTCTCAAGTATAAACACCTGGGTCACAGAAAACATGACAGCAAAGAGTAGCGCTGATCTGATGAATAGCTTATTTATTCGATCAGTGGATAAACACCTGACTCCTTCTGATGAATAAAAGCATTCACATTATGGAAATAACTGCTCCACCAGACAGAGTAAAACATTTTATTTAGATTACATTTCAAGAATTATGAGAAACCTGTATGTAAAGAATTTTTGTTAAGGTGTATTATGGTTCAAAATTGTTAAACGTACATGTGAAAATGTTGCAATACTAAACTTTACTCGAATTGACAAAGTATTGAGCACAAAACGACTACCCTTTTGTGCCTTGTACTAGTCCCTCACTGTGCATCAGATCACACTGGACAATCATACAGGCTGCGCTGCAATTTCTCTAATGAGGCAAGAGGGTTACAACTGACAGAGCTCAGCTAAAGCAAGCGGTCCAGGGCTATATGACCTCCAGCCTGAGAGAAGCCCAGTGACCTACAATATATGTGCAGAGAGCAGCACACAGCACCCATGTGGCACAACCATTTAAGACGGTGGACTTGAGAGCCTTTCTGTGCTTAAAATAGGTTAAAATAAGAACACTCCGGCATGAAGATACAGTTACATTTGTGAGTATATCAATTCAACTTCAATTACAATACAGTACAAGCAGTTTAAGCACTTTTTATGAAGGATTACTAAAGCTAGGATGTATAAATGCACCAGTTTACAGCAGATTTAAACAGAAGGCGCAGGTTAAATCAACAGACAGTGGAATAAAACTGCTGAGCGAAGACCAGCGATGCGGCTTTGATGTCGGTCCACTTTAATGATGTGTCACAGATGACAAATGCATCTTTCTATGCAGCTAGAATAAAAGGTGCAAGCTTGTGTTAGAATGGTAAATATTCTATGTGTTGTACATCTCATCTTCTCCCTGTATATGCATTCTGTATAATAAAGCACTTAGACTGTAATCTGGTAATGAGGGGATTCAGGCTGATGTAAGTTTAATGTCATGCAGCATGGCTAGATAGTATCATAAACTGTCTAATAGGAGTGGGCTGACCGAATGTTGACGTGTTTGCCGAAGTTAGCTGGAGCCAACTTCCTTATATGGGATTTTGGTCCAATGGCTTTAGCTTCGCGCAGTCGCAGCGCTGACGGAGGTGGTTGGAATGTGTGTGGACACTATCAAAATATAAACAACAGGATCACAGGAAACACTTAAACCAGAGATTTCTTGAGTCCAAAATTGCAAGTGTGACACAAACGTTTACTGAACTAGAAGCATTCCCAGATTCAGTATTTGGATCAGTATATTTTTACGACAAAAGAGCACTAAAAAAGTGGAATTCTGACACCGTGAAAAATAAATGATTGAAACATGCCAAAAAGCTATGCTCACATCTGGTATAGGCTGAAAAAACACCATGGAAGAAGCATCTTAAGCAATGATAATTTGATTTGGACAAAAAAGCAACAACAAAGTGCAAAGAATCTTAATGAACATTGTCACAAAAAAACCTGACCAAATTGTTCAAATAAAACCAAGCACAGATCATGTTTTGTTGGGTTACAACATTATCCTGTGACAAGTATTGCAATTTGCATAAGCATAAGCCCTTAAACAGAATATAAGTCGACAGCCTAGAGTCACGTGTGCCTCTTCCATGATGTACGATGAGGATTCCTCTTTGCTGACACTCACCATCCCTTCCACAGTATTACGAATGAGATGGAAATGTGGGGTGGCATGGCCGTGGGCACGTGCAGAGCCAGTGCAGATTTAGCATGGAATCTCCTCGCAGTTTGTGTGCACTGACCTCTTTCTGTGGCTTTATATACCTACAGTTAGACTCTACTCCTTCCATTCTCATATTCTCACGGAGCTACAGTGAGAGGGAACATACAAATGCAAGTCCACCTGCATTTACCTTCACCTGGATTTAAACAGGCAAACCAAAAGAGACTCATGGGCTGTTCATTAAGCATCAGAACAAGCAACGTTTGAAATGAATATGGACCTACCGCTTATTCGGTTCGTCATTAACTGTATCTTTGCTTTAGAGATCCTGGCTAAAGAAACATTCACAGATCTCTCCTATATTTTAATTTTCTTTAGCACAACAGTGCAATAGAAGGACATATACATATATATGTTTTTAAGTGGAAACTTATGCCATGTTGCCTTTGAAGTAAGAAATCTTTATGAATTTAGCACTTTTCAAAAACAGAGTGAAGAGGTTTTAAAACTATAGTGCAAGGTTTTCATTTGATTTATACA